AGAATAATATTTTAAGATTTTTTAAAAATGTATACAGGGTGTTTTGAAAAATCTGGTCATTAATTAATCACGATCCTGCTTAAAGCGCTTGACGTAAAAAGCTGATTTTCGGAAAACGGATTGACTTTAGGGTGTAGAGGTTCGATAAGAAGGAATTTTTCGAAACTAGAATTCTAAGGGGGTGAAACCACCCTCAAATATTAGAATATTTTTTATTTAAAAACCGGTGAGTTTTTCGGAAAAACTATTAAACACGTATATTTTATTTTGTTGTTTTACATATTTTAAGATTTTTTAAAAATATATACAGGGTATTTCATAAAATATGAGTAATCGCGATTCTGCTTAAACTGCTTGACGTTTAAAACTTATTTTTGGCAAATGTGAGAAAATTTTGTCCAGTTTGTATGTTAATGGAAATTCTTGCTTTGCTTTATCATCACCATTACAAATTATTAATACGACGCGAACGAAGTCGCGGGTACACGCTAATTTATGTGTAAAATTAATTCGAACTCTAGTGTGTAGTTGGTTTACTTATGAAGAATATACTACACATTTTGTTATATTGCTATTTTTTACCGTAAATGGTAAAATCATAACTAAGAGCTTCTCGCCCGTCGAGTGAGATGCACCCTGTACACTGATACGCAATTCAGGATCTACTTGGATCGAGGGGCAGGGCGTAGGTAGATCGGAATGTATAGGTATAGACGAGTAGCGGAATTTTGGCTTTTTTTATATCGCAATTTGTAAACAGCGCTTATTTGTAAACAAACACCGTTTTTAGAGAGATATTTTAGATAACAATCGATATTTAGAAATGTTTTGACACCCTGGAAATACTACCACCGAGCACTGTTGCAACTTGCAACTGCGTTAATACGCCTGGCGGTGACCGCCTCATACTCATTCAGATATTTAGCAGTATAGGGCTGAGCCACTTTTGAGACGCACCCGGTATAAAATGTGAAAGAAATCAAAATACTTATAATTACACCCACAACTTTTTTTCTCCCCTATTACTAGGTTGTTTAATAATGATACATAATAGTTATTAATATTGATATATAATGTTTAATGTTACAATAACTTAATCCATAGATCAACTTATCGCTTTTTGTTTGTTTTCCAAAAAACAAATATTTCCAGCTACACCTAATAATTTCAGCCCCACCGACTTCCTAATTAAGTTTAGCCAGAATCCGGAATTTATAATCGAGCAAAATAATTCACTTGCTTACTGGCGAAGTTTACAACTTGGCGGAAATATAAACGACGGCGGAGCTGAAGCGTTTTAACTTTCACACGGTCATAATGGCAACCGTTAATTGAACAAACTATAATTGAAGAAGCGAATACGACTTCGTTTACACGAAAACTGCTATAGCTATTATATGTAAACGACAAACGTTTTAATACAATGGATATTATTGAAGAAATATTACATATACCTGTATATTATAGAATGGTTAATTTAATTGTATAGTTATTGTAGATTAACCCCTCTAAAATTACGTGATTTACTAAAACACAGAAAAATTTCTATTCGGAGTAAATTAGGTACATGAAAAACGGGATAAGTTAGGCAAATGAGAATAAATGACATAACTTAGACCCTTTCAACGGATTATTCAATATTACCCCTGCGACGATATGAAGAACGCTACTGAGACTGCAAAACATTTTTGTTTAATACAAGCCTACGTGGGAATGGTAGGAAATGATTCAACAAGTTCAGACAAGTCAAGCCTGCGATGCTCGTTCATCCTTTGACTTGTACCACTTTTACCGACAACTGACCGGAAGACCGCGCCGAGCCGAGCCGCTTGTCGTATCGACGAGCGCTCTCATTCCCACAACGCGTGGCTCGTAGAGATGGGCGGTTATTGGTAAAAAACCGGTTATAGGTTAACCGGAATTATCTTTAAAAAATAATAACTTGACAAAATTAACCGACACAAATTAACCGGTTATTCAAATAACCTAACCTAGCAAAACTAAATATTTAGTTTTCCTATAGGTTTACTTACTTCTACACTCCATAGGTCTACTTCAAATTTAGATAATAAACTTAGTTAAATCGCATGATTAAATAGAGATTGTAGCAATGTAAGTATGTATATATACAAAATGAATTTAAATAAAAATGCTAACCTCACTTTTTTGAGTAGAGATGGATATGATATTAAAACTAGTAATTACTTAACGTTCAAATAAACCACACAACTCACAAGTTCTACAATCTACAACCAAGTTATTTTAATCAAATACCAAAGAAAAATAAGGAGACTGAATGAATAGATAATGAAAGATTATCTTCATTCATTACTTGAACTTCAATTTTGTATTCTTTAGTCTAAGCTTCAAGAGAGACTTCAAACTACAAATAAAATATATTTACGGTGAAACGTGGGTGAAACTGGGCGAAACCATGGAAGACTTTTGAAGAACCGTTGAAAATCCGTTAAAGTCGGTTAAAATTTAAATATAGAATTTAGAGAATCTATTTGAAGTTAGGTTCGTATCACTTGGCTAGCTGGTGGCTAGTAGTAGTCTATGCCATTAGTACTTTGTTTTACGGCCTGACCTGTCAGGGCCATTCGGCCGTTGTTTTGATTATTATCATCAGGGTTCGCCTGATGCCTGATTTAATTTTGACATTTGATGTTTGATGTCATATATTTTCGTTTTGGGAGCGGGAGCGGGATCTCCCGTTATCGTCGTAATATCTGAAAGATCCGTACCGTTCGCTTCTTCGAAATTTACCATTCAAACAGCCAATACTTAATTGTTACTTGTTTTAAACAAGTACGATTTTTTAAAAAATAACCGGCTATAGGTTATTGAACGTAATGCAAGGTTATTAGGTTAACTGGTGAAAAAAAACTACCTTTAAATAACCGGTTATTTTAGAGGAAAATACCGGTTATTCAAAAAACCGGTTACTTTTGCCCATCTCTAGTGGCTCGCCAAATCGCGCGCCAAACTCGCCAAATCCCGCGTCGTGTGATGCCGGCTTTATACAGGGTTGTTCACCACATACGACACGGTGTATTGTAGCTAAACGATGAGATTTTTACAAATTGTAAGTTTGGGGTTCGTTGAAGGACTATTAGAGCTACAATTTAAAAATATTTTTACAAGATACAGAGTGTCCCAAATAAATAAAAAATATCAAAGATGTATTTTTTTAAATGGAACACCCTGTATATTATTACATTTTTAGTTTCTACGATTAAAATAAAGGTAAATTTGATTAAGGTTTATTATACTTAAACATTACGTTTTTGAAATATTTTCAATTTTGTGAAATTGCAGTAAAAATTTTAAAGCTTTATTTCTCCAAGGGTATCAATGTTTTTAATACTAAATATTTAATGAAGTTTATTTATTGATCAGTTATTGTGTTGCAATAATAAAAATAATACTACTTTATAGAGAGTGTCTAAAAATTTACTTTAAATAATTATTAACTTCAAACGGCAACAACTTCTTTAATTTAAATAGAATGCCCTGTATATTTTAGGAGAATCAGATGCACAATTAAATTGTCTATCAAATTGCATTATACCATTTTTTACCTATCCCTTCAAGTTTTAGTAGAAAATGCATTTTCTTATAATTTAGACCTCATTTATCAATATATCCATGGAATATTGACATTTTAGATTGTTTTTAAAGCAACAAATGTACAAAATGTACAGACTAGTAATATTATCGTTTTTGGCAAAACGATAATATTACTAGCCCATTTGTATGCAAAAAGAAAACTATTTAAATCTTTATAAAAGAGTATACCATTAATTAAACATAACACCATTATTTCCGCCCATATACTAATTAATGACATACTTAATTGTGTTCGTTAATAAATTATTATAAATAAATGTGGATTTTTGAATCAGAAATCAATATAATAATAAGTTATCAAATTAAAGCCTTTGTTGTTATAAATAAGCATTTATTAAAAAATGAAATATCATTTTTAAGGTGTTACTTTTTATCACACTGTCTAATGCCCATACAAAATTGAGTTTTTTAGTATTTGGAGCAATTATTATTAATCAACGCAAACAGTCAGTTAATGTAGTTTGAATACTGGAATCATATTAATTGGTCCTCTTTAACAAATATTTAAACAGTTTTTTTTTATTTTTTAATGAAATAAACGAATTACATATATCGACAATATTAGTATCTGTACACTTTAAAAATTTGGTACATCTTTAAAAATAATCTAAAATGTCAATAGTCCATGGGTATATTGATAAATAAGTTCTAAATTACAAGAAAATGCATTTTCTACAAACTTAAAGGGATAGGTAAAAATTGGTATAATATAATTTGATAGACAATTAAATTGTGCATCTGATTCTCGTAAAATATACAGGGTGTTCCATTTAAATTAAACAAGTTATTGCCGTTTGAAGCTAATAATTATTTAAAATAAATTTTAGACACTCTGTATAAGGTAGTATTATTTTTATTATTGCAACACAATAACTGATCAGCAAATAAACTTCAGTAAATATTTAGTATTAAAAACTTTGATACCCTTGGAGAAATGAAGCCTTAAAATTTTTACTGCAATTTCACAAAATTGAAAATATTTCAAAACGGTAAGGTTTAAGTATAATAAATCTTAATCAAATTTACCTTTATTTTAATCGTAGAAACTAAAAATGTAATAATATACAGGGTGTTCCATTTAAAAAAATACAACTTTGATATTTTTTACTTATTTGGGACACTCTGTATCTTGTAAAATTATTTTTAAATTGTACCTCTAATAGTCCTTCATCGAACCCAAAACTTACAATTTGTAAAAATCTCATCGTGTAGCTACAATACTCCGTGTCGTATGTGGTGAACAACCCTGTATAATCAAAGATTTTTTCCTTTAGATGAAGTTGCATTTCAGGCAAGATGATGAAATTCGTTCCCAAGTATTTTTAAATAAGACAACATATTATATATTCTTCAAAACTTCTATTACATCGTAACTAAAATACAGTAAATGTGATGTGGCGTGCATTAAAAATTAATAAAATCAAAATAATTTATAATATTTTCAATGCTTCTCTTAAGTACATTTTAAACCAGGTTAAGGACCTAGTTTCAGTAGTTTCATTAAATATTAGGTTGGGTTCCTTTTCTAATCTTTCATAAAGGCAACATACGAATAGGACGCCTTTATCATCTGAAAAAGTAAAAACCAAATTCCACATACTATGAACTAAATTTTAGGTAATATTAATCTTTAAATACCAGTAGTGCAGTTTCATTTGTCATAGATCCAAATGGACCAATACTCATATACAATGGTTTTTGAGCTCTCATTAGCATTATCAGGACCATCTTTCTGCATTTCTTGTTAAAGTGATACCAATCACTTTCGAACAGTGCATCGGCAATACCAAGACTCTGCAATATATAAAAAGTAACTCCTTTTGCATCAGTTTTAATGTTTGTCGGAAATCAATAATTGAACCATTGAATAAAAAAACTTTAAGGAAGGTGTATATTATTATTACTTATTTTTTGTTTGCATAATGTGTTCAGCTTCTCTAGAATGCCTAGAGAATCTCCATGTTTGGCTCCTTGCTTAGTTTTTTAATCAGAAACTTAAACAGACCATGAATTTATAGTAGGTATGTGCAACAGAAATTTAACAAGAAAGTATTTCTCATTTAATGTGCAAAAATATAATAAAAAAAATATTTTATTCAAATATAATATAGTGACAACTTAAAAATATCATAATTAGTTATATATCCTTTAAAGCTCCGCGCGCACTGAAGGGGTATCGGCGCGAGCGAGCGGCACGTAATTTTCAGTTTACGTTGAAATAAATGTAAGCCCGCGCACCGCATTAGATCGGTGCGATCGGTGCGCTTCGAGCTATCGGCGGTACTCGCGCCATCAGGCGAAATTAGAGAATGCATGGGAGGGGGACGAATAGTCTACGCCGAGCGACTGTTTTTAGTGGAGCGGTTTTACATTAAACATGTCCGATGAATTATTAATCGAAAGTGTACTACACCATATCATACTTAATATGCGGTTTTTATAAAAATTTCTTACAAGCACGTAGCATATATTGTTTACTACACTTATTCAATAACCGAATTAGAAAACCTTCCGATTAAACCCATTTATTTCTCATCTCGTTTTGATTATCTCACATTATTTTGGAAATCGAATTTAAATATCGTCAAAAACTTATCATATTATTTAATTTTTGGTTTGTTTTGACGTTAGTAATAACAGCTGATAAATAATGTTACTATGTTGATCGCTCCGTACAAGGTACAAATAGAGAAAATAATATTTATGTTTGAATAAAATATTTGTACATATATCTACCGTATGATAGAAAAAAACGGCGTCCAGTTGGATGGGAAATGACGATTGATGACATTTCTTATATAAATTTACATATAAAATGGCACCGACCTTCATTTCATGGCCATCGCTGATGCCGTTCCTTTTCGATAATACGGTACTATAAAAACTATTTATATTTTTTTTCAATTTTCTTTGACTTGATGATTGACGTTTCGACCAATTTTAATTCGGTCTTCTTCAGAATCTATAATATACAATACAATTTTATCACTAACAATGTGTTTAATATATAATTTTTTCTTACCACAAACGTAGAAAATTATTTATATTATAGTATAAATAGATATAAATAGATATATATATTATATATAATACGTATATTATAGATTCTGAAAAAGACCGAATTAAAATTGGTCGAAACGTCAATCATTAAACAAAATGTAAACACAAGTTTCGTTTTATTTACTACTGACTTAAAACAAAGACTTTAAAAACTTAAAATAAAAGCTATATATAAATGTTTGTAATGACACTTATTTAGATTAAAAAACTAAAAATAGAAGTTTTATTTGACTATTTTTCATATCTAGCTTTGTTTTTAAAGAACAAATTAAACCCTTTTGAATGATACCAAATTTGTTAAAATCGGTCAAGCTAAGAGTCATGTATACTCTGTTTTTTTTTCTCAGGTAAGATTTCGACAGACGATGACAGAAGAAAAGCAGATGACGTCCCATACCAATCTATTTATTTTACTAAAAAAAGTTTCTAATAATTTTTAAGTTATCTATGGATGGGTTTAAATATAAATCCGTCATACGTCGTGTCTTGTTGTTTTTAACCAGTTTTATTGGTTTATTTAAAAAATGACAGATCGTATTTCAATTTTATTGGTTTGACGGAACGATGAACGATAAACGGACGCCGATGCGTATGAACTCGCCTTTAGATTTTTGTCATTTTTGACGCTTGTCAAAGTCTTGCCAAATTATAGGTTATAATTTTGTGTCAACTTTTGTTAAATACCCTGCGTTTTGGAAGATGATGCATTTTGATTCGTATTATTACGAGTGTTTTGTGTCTTTTGAAGTCAAGTGGAGGAAAAATCGAGTGAAAATTAACTGTAGACCCAGAGCACAGTTTATGGTTTATACTCGCTGCCCAGGCAGAAAGTTTTATACACCAATGAAGTTGCCATCGATAAAGTTTGTATACCATTTCGTCGTAGATAAGTGCATCTCGTATATGGTAGAAGGATCAAACTAAACGCATACTAAAAACTGGAGCAGCTGTAAAATATCGACATCACACGATAGGTAAATAATGGATTTTAGTACTGCAGAAAAATAATGTCAAAGGTACTGGTTTAAAAAAATTAAGATTAAAGTTAATTAATCAACCTTTAAGGTATAAAATTTGGTAGGTGTTATTATTAATAAAATAGTTTGTTTTATTTACCTATGTTGTTTTATTTATTCCTGTGGAATATTACAAATTTGTATTTGTACATAAGTTATATTGATAAATATAATCATAAATGCGGGTAATTTCATAAAGCTTGAAAGTAAAAAATAGTTCTTTTTTATATTTTTTTGGTATGTATTGTCTTGTTCTTGTTTGTTTTGTATTCACACATACCGTTTTTATTAAATAAAATAACTCGATTACATTTTTTCAGTTTTATACAGTTTTTTTCACAATATTTTGAAGTAATCACTTGTCATCTTGTCAATCAAATTTTAAATATATCCTGCTATGCGTTCCAGTTGTACCAACTTATTTCTTTGTAAAATAAAATAAACCACTTTGAAATTAAAATGACAGACACATCTATCACTGTCAAGGATCTTCTCGTTGGACAGACTATAGTATATTTTATCCCCATCTTCCACTCTATTTCACTAATTTTATGTGGTTTGTTAAGATCTAAATATATTTAGATCTTTTTTTTTTTTGTATGTTTGGCTAAGATCTAAATAATATTAATTTCCATCATAAAGCATAAAATATAAAAAGTTGCATAAAAATATAAATAGTAATAATACTTTATAATTTTTTGAAATGCCGAATGAATTTGACTAAATTTGAATAAACTTCTACTCGTCTATGCTCAAATTTATGCTAGTGACGTACTCTCGACCGTCGATCGTGCGACTCCAGTGCGCGGCTACAATCGACTTTCCGACCGGTCGTGTCGGTAGCGCCGATACCCCTTCAGTGCGCCCGGAGCTTAATACCAACTTACATGTACTTTAATTTCATTGGCAGCCCAGGCATAAGCAAAAATTTGAATTGTCAAAGCCAAAATATATGTGATTATAATAAGTAAATTAGCATCCCAAGACTTAATCTAAAAATAAAAATATCCACACGTTGAAGCGAATTTATTCAAGATGAGCGAGAGCAAAGTTCGTCTTTTGTATCTATGTATTCAGTACTTATTGTATACTTAGTAGCTCTGAAGAAGAAGCAATATTATTTTATATTATTGAAAAATGTGCTTCAGAAGATGAGAATGCAGAAAGGTAAGGCATATACTCTAATATATACAAAAAATTACATATAAAATATTCACACCAATTATTATTTATATCCCAGGCTGTTCTATTAGAGACGGCATTCCGTCAGCATGGCCGCAAGTTGCTAACCTAATAAAATTAACACTAGAACAACCCGCGGGAACTGTCAAATTCAAAGTTATTCGTTTCACAGACTATATATGTATCTAAGTAGCATGTATCTAACACTTATTATTGATATTTTTAGTTTACCTTAATAAGAGAAGTTACAATTGAGGCACAATTAAGAGAACTTACTAAAAACTCTACAAATGTAATATATTTTGTAGTCTTATTCAAGTTTGTAATAAACCTAAAAAGATTAGTAGGTATCAGAAATAGTCATAATTCTATTATATTGAGGTATTGTTAATCTTACTCTATTAATTCTTGATGTTTTCTAATAAATTCATTCAAAACCAATGCTACATCACCATCGTACTGGGCTTCTTTACTTTCGTACTGGGCACTTTTAGCAGTTTCATGAATCTTCTTAATTCTGATTTGAAAGATTTTTAGTTGGATTGCACCAAATATCATGCAAGTGGTTACTATAAAGAATGAGCTTGTATATGTTGGGGCAACAACAGTTGCCAGGAAAACATTTAAGTAATAGAAGGAGGTCTACGAGTTAAAAAAAGTTTAATGACAAAAATATTTACATCTATTAACGGTAATTATTGGGAAAACTGGAAATCGTCCGATTTTCACCAAAATTGGTATACACACTATTTTGAGGTCGTAGATTACGAATCTGAACTTCTTTCTTGGCGGTCTCTTACCGTTTTTCAGAAAAACGGAAAATTATTTCAACATTGAATTTTTCTTTATTTCGGCCCTATAAAGTAATAACTTCACTATATTTTCATTATATTATAATTTATCTAAAAGTCACACTTGATTGGGGATAGAAAAATGTCCAAAAGTTTACTGAAACACACTTTTCTTAACAAAATAACAAAGAAAATTGAGACCAGATGGAAGTTTGACATTTGATATATCCCACATATATCCTTCGTTCTCCCTCCTATGTAATGAGAGAGACAAATATATTCTAGACCTAATCAGAAATTTGAAAATTTGCAACGTCGCCATATCTTCTATTTTTTCGGGTGATTAGGGATTTTAAATAAATTACCTATTATGAGATCGACAATAATTAAATATACCTACCTATATCCACAAAGTTACGCGGAAGAGTTTTGATTGCATTGGTTGCAACTTCTATGCGGAGGGTGTTAATCATTTGTTGTTATATTATATCAAAAAAAGACTAACCCCCTCCGCAAAGAAGTTATATAAAGACTATTTATAACCACGAAGTTGCACGAAAGAGTTTTGATTGCATTGGTTTTAACTTCTTTGCGGAGGGGGTTATAGAGATCTTTTTTTGATATAATATAACAACAAAAGATTAACACCCTCCGCATAGAAGTTGTAACCAATGCAATCAAAACTCTTTCGTGCAACTTCGTGGTTATAAATAGTCAGATCTTGTTGGTAACATAGCAACTATGGGTTCTTCTGGCGACCGCCTTTCGTAATCCCAGAATGAGCGAAAAAAATACGCTAAATTTAGGTTTAGCAATGGCAACGTTGCTTTAAATGCCAGAAACACATAACCCAACATTTTCAGATTGTTTATTAATTTATTTTAGCAAATCTTCCTCTATTATGCATAGAATTGGTTAAAAAATGTAACAGAAAATAGCAATAACATCATTGTTTATTGAATACCTAACAAAATATGTGCTAGAAAACCTTAAAAATATGAGAAATTAATAAAAATTCGATGTTGAAATAATTCCCCGTTTTTCTGAAAATCGGTAAGAGACCGCCAAGGAAAAAGTTCAGATTGGTAATTTACGACCTCAAAATAGGGTGTATACCAATTTTGGTGAAAATCTGACGATTTCCAGTTTTCCCAATAATTACCCTATTAACAAGTAAAGTTCTCAAAAAAAATCGTTTAAAGAATTTTAAATCCAAACATGACAAAATTTACATTTATAGAGACTACACTATTTTTGGTTTTTACTAAGAAACAAATTTAAAATCTGCCCAACTAACGAATAAACAACATTGAAAGGTTTTTTTCTGTCATTTTTGTTAACAGGTAAATTGAATTGCCTGTCATTTTTGGATGCCGTCTGGCGAAATCTTGCTGAATCGGCTCGGGCGGACATTATTTATAAATAATTTCCCCAAAACTTTCTAAAATTATTTTAAAATATACATACAAGGTGTTCGGTCTTTGCAGGAAACAATATTGGATATATATTAGGTATTTCCAAAGACTCGTTCATTATTTTGTGGAATTTGTTCTTCTCGATATTATCATATATGCCAAAGAAAATATATGAATATATTACGATATACAAGAGTGTCACTATAGTCCATGTCTAAAATATAATTTTTATTATAATCAGACAATAGATTACTGTCACAATAATTAATTATTGTCCCTATAATTTGTTTCTATAAACAGTATGTCCCCAGCTTGTCTTTACAAAGAGGAAGAACTTTTATATTATTGACATTATGGTTATTCTTTGATGTAGGGTAGTCTCAAGGTAGACTCAATAATTTGTTGTTTTATTGTACGTTGGTTGGTCACGTTGGTATTGTCAGTTGGTGAATGCAGTGTGCATTCAACAACACCCCACAAAACGCAGCTGACCCACATTTTGTAGATCGTTGTGTTGCAATCCGGTCGCCACTACTAGACTTCATCCTGTATCGCCTCCTTTAGAGCCGTTTGTTGGTCAGTGGTCAGTACTACCTCTGGATAATCCTTTGGCAGCACCACCATTTTCACTTGTCCAGCAATAGCGCCAAAGTTGGTGATACGTCCCTGCCTGCCTCCCGGTGTTGGACGTCTTTCATCCTGGCGCTTTTTTCTCACCTTGTCGGAGCAGAGGTGAGTAGTTCTCACTCCTTCTCTTGTCCTTTGGTGGAGATGCACCACGCTATTTCTTAGTTCCTTTACTCTCCCCTTTTTCAAGGAGTGTTTTCGCTTTTGGTTCCTCTGGAGCAAGTCCTTCGTGGGGCAGTCGGGGATATCTCCGTGCTTCTGCTCCACAAAGACCTACTCTCAGAGGATCGTCTAGCCCGCCTGGTTGACCCAGGGCGCGTAGACGAAACGGTAGCTTGTGTCGCTTATTGAATTTAGAGGTGCACTCCCGACCCTTGCTGAAGGAGGCGGTAGCTTGGGTGCCACTTGTGGAGGATGATGTCGCGCAAGGGGATATAGAGAAAGTGAAATTCAAAGAACTTTACAGTGCTGATCGAGATCTGGAAAGACAAAACTCGGAAGTCAACGAGGATGGTGTAGAACCCAGCATACTAAAAAGAGGATGAGGTGACAGAAGCCATAAGTCACCAGGAGTAGATCACATAAATATAGAAATACCAAAGGCACTGGAAGAACTGGAATAGAGATACATTTGCAACAAGATCTGGTAAATGGGAAAATAGCTTAACGACTAATAAACTTTTTAATGCCACTCGCAAGCAAAATTGGATTCGGGCTTTTCAATCACAAAAAAGCTCATGAATGAAAAAGCCTTGCGTGACCATCTTCTGATGCGTGTCGAATACTCGTCAGCGAGTAATGGCAGTATGTATGTATGTATCTGTACTCACAAATACCATCTGGGCAAGTCCAGTGTGGCCCATCACTATAGTCATTAGGTTATTTCCAGAAGATAACGTACCACAATTCTCCAAATAGCTATTTGATGAAAGTAATATTTTATAACATCATCCTCTGCAGACATTCTTACAGCCTTTTCTTCATCTATGATATTTTTTAACAACAATATCGTGTTGTTTTTCCAATAAATAATCAGTCGAATAGTAAATTTTGTTGCATCAATAACCATCTACGAAAACACACCGACAGGGTAAAATATAATATATTTGTTTTCTTGGTCTTACTCCAAAATTAAACATATATAGCTCTTCTCCTTGTACAAGAACTCTAAGAAACTCTAATAATAGAGAAATATAAAACAGTGCATAAACTATTCTCGGGATGTAAGAATATAATTTATATATCTTATTGAGCAATTGATTTTCTGATATGTCAAAGGGCCAGGTTCCATTAATCATCATTAAATTCTTCAGTATATTAATTAATTTTGTATCGCCTTCCATCATTAAATTAATCTTGTTAGAAAAAGAGTTGTTGGTATTAAGAAAAATTACTTATTACTTAGAAATATAACATAAGCAATAAAAGACGTATGTTACACGTACTTTTATATGAAAATAGTTATTTTGTATTAAATTATTCCACCCACAACGTCCAAAGTTTGAGTATGTTTTCTGTCTTAAATGATATATCTCAAAAAATAATAATGACAGGCTATATTATTTTGTTTTCAAAAACAACAGTATCGACTTTCAAATAAGAATATATTTGTTTTTATAACGACATTTTCTTTCTCCGAAAAATACTTTGTTTTATCGAACACTAAAGGAAAAATATAACGAAAAATTATAATATATAATAAAAAGAAAAAATATAATATATATATGAAATTATAATATGAAAAATCAAAAAAAAAATATCAAAACGCTACATATGTTCTCTATGGGTATCTCGGAAACTAATGGAGATAGAGAATCGGTTAAATGGGGAAAGAATTGCAGTTTTTTGGGGTCATAAATATACCGCCTTTCAGATTTTTGAAAAAGTTCATGGCTTACTAGATATTTCGAAATATCTATCAAAAATCAAATATCTGAAAGGTGCATATTTATGACCCCACAAAACTGCAACTTTTTCCCCATTTAACCGACTCTCTATCTCCAGTAGTTTCCGAGATACCCATAGAGAACATCGTAGGAAACTCACACTATATAAGCATAACTTCATACGAGTTCACCCTTAAAAAACACTAAATCACCACAATACACCAAAACACTTTTACTTTTACACTGTGGACGCGCGTTTCGCTAACCATGTTAGCATCATCAGCAGATGATTATAAACTAAAGTACAATCAACAAGTTGAGCGTTTATATACTCGCTCAGTGGGCACCGAGTGGGCATGGCAAAATCTAGCCAACCGAGTCAGAGCCCACTGAGCGTAACAGTTAGATTTCCGCCACTAGAGTAGTAGGAACAAAGAACTTGAAGGAATTGGACCTTTATCTCTGTTCATACTATCTTTACATTTATTAATTCTGATGCTTTCATATGCATCTAATTGCCTGTAATTTGAGACTTGTTTAATTAATTTTAAATTATTAAGATCTATACAATGTTCTTTATCAACAATATGTTCGGCAACGCAAGATTTATCCGGTCTACCATATCTTATCTGAGCTAAATCTTCCTTAAATCTAGTTAATATTGATCTTCTATAGTTTGCCCAACATATTTCTGATTACAATCTTTACAAGAAATTTCATAAATACCCGACCTTTCCAGTGGAGGTGTTTTATCCTTTGGATTACCTAATAATTGTTGTAATTTATTATTAGCACTATACACAAGTTTATAATTGACATTCTTAAAAATTACTTTTAGACCACGGGATAACTCTCTATCAAACGGTATTGAAAAATATTTAGACGTATCTTTCTCCACTTGAAAAGTCGAATTTTCAGAAATCATTAACCTATATCTACGATTTCTAATTAATTTATCAACTAGTGAAGGAGAATATCCATTACACTCAGCTACATTCCTACTGTAATCTCTTTCTATTTCATATCTTTCGTTGGAAAGTGGGAAACTAAGTAATCTATGAACTAAGAAATTTAAACTAGCCATTTTATGTTCAACACTATGATGTGATTCATTGGGAATATATCTGCGTGTGATGGTATTTTTCCTATAGATATCAAATTCCAGGCAATTATTAGTATTTCTAATAATTAATACATCTAGAAATGGTAATCTGTCGTTGTTCTCAATTTCATGCGTAAATTTAATGGAAGGAAAACGATTATTTAACTTAGAAATAAAATTATCTATGGTGTCTGAATGTGTGTCAAAAACAGCAAAAATATCAGTGTAAAAGCACAGTTTAAAGAATATAAAATATATCAGTTGACCCACTCTTCGCCCGTATCAAAATTCCTCCCGCCGCTCCCCGCCTGTCTTGTAGACTTGGGTCAGTCTACATCCGTTGCTCGACGTGTACACAGCGTTCCAAATTTATTTTAGTTTTGTTTTCGGCTCGACGCATAGGGTGAACCAAAAACAGTGTTTTAGTTGTTTTGTTCGAATTGCGAATAAAATGTCTACTAGAAATATTTGTGCAATGGATGGTTGTGAAAGTAGAATGACAGACAATATATCGTTCTTTAGGTGCCCAAAAGATGAAAAGATATATTTTATATTCTTTAAACTGTAGTAAAAGTAAAAGTGTTTTGGTGTATTGTAGTGATTTAGTGTTTTATTTTGGTGAATACTCGTACCTACCCTACCCTTATTTGGCGGGTGGACCTGCAAATCCTTATCGCCACCACTGTAAGGGCTCTATAAATTTACTTAAAAATATAGCTAGATCTAGACTTATTGTTAATTTCACTTTATTTTTTTTTTATTAATCAAAGAATTCGATCTAATAGGTACTGAAGCATCTTCTAAGAAAACAATACGTCATGAATTAGTTTATAATTATCAGAAAAGGTGAGTTAATTTGTAAGCCTAAAGTAAACGTCCAGATAAGATAAGATATGTCGCACATTTTTGTGGGTAGTATTCAATAGTTAGTCAAAATGTCTATTGACTGCAACAATTTTGTTAAATTGTGTTCTGGCGAACTTTGTAATTTGACCCTTGTAGCATATATATCAGGATGTATAGGTTTGGTAAGAATAGTTTTTAACTTTACAAGCGCAGAGCTAACTCCAGTTCTTATGTCTAGAAATTAAAGAAATATGTATGGTACTTGTTGACCTTTTGTTTATTTACCATATGATTTGTATCTTCTATTTCTCCAAATATTATTATTTAAATACTAGACAAAATTATTTTTTGAATGGTTTAAGGAATATAAATAGAATAGCCAAAAGTACCCATAAAATAAGGAGCTGAATGAGTGTGAATGATGTCTGAATAAAATTTTACTTTCGTGCATAAGAATTTTTCTTTAGTTTGAATACTTCACTATACAACAACAATAAAATTTCTTTGATTACACTAGTATTTTTTATTGATACTCAAGAAAATATACAGTATTGGCCAAAAGTGGATGAACCAATACCAATAATTGCGAAGAAAATCAGATTTGAGGTGTTAAATATCAAAATTATTTTATGTACCTTTGTATGTTAAAAGTTTAATACATTCTCACCAAAATACTACAAACAAATATAAATTCTTCTGTTAGTCTTATCATTTATAGATAAGAATTGGCAAATATTGCTTTTCTGTCTTGGACAAAAGTAGATGAACCAAATATTTTTAAAAATCGTTAGTTTCATTTGTTCTGCTTTTATGAACAATTGCGATTTAAAAACATTTGAGCTCTTGTGATATATCATGCCACGTGGAATTAACTTGTCTGCAGATCTTAAGTTGCGAGTAGTGAATGCTTTTAAGGATGGTTTGAAGCAATCGGAAATTGCTCAGCAATTACGCCTTGGAAAATCAGCGGTACATTATATTTTAAAGAGATATAATGAGAGAGGAGATGTCTCTATAAAAAGAAAACCAGGACGACCTAAAAAAGTTGGTCCCAATATGATAAAAGCCATAAAACGAATTTCTTCACAAGATCCATTTTTGCCGTCAACGAAGATAAAAGCAAAACTTGAAGAAATGGGCTATCCACCAGTGAGTACAAGGACGATCCGACGTAAATTAGTTGACCAGAAGTTGTTTTCCCGAAGACCCGCCAATAAACCACTGCTATCAAAAAAAATTTGAAGGCCCGATTAGCATTTGCCAAGGAATATCAAAACTGGACTGTGGCACAATGGAAAAAAGTTTGTTTTAGTGATGAATCAAAGTTTAATTTGGTGTCATCAGATGGAATTCAACATGTAAGAAGACCTCCCAACACACGATTGCTACCAAAGTACACGCGACCCACTGTAAAACATGGTGGGGCTCAATCATGGTATGGGGGTGTTTTTCTGGGTATGGGATGGGGCCTCTCCATAAAATTGAGGGCATAATGGATCGGTTTGGCTACAGAGACATTTTACAAAACCTTTTAGTGCCTTATTTGGAGGAAAAAATGCCAGTTGTACACTACTTCCAACATGATAACGACCCGAAACATGCCTCACAATTGGTTAAAAGGTTTTTGGAAGATGAAATGGTGACTGTTCTCAAATGGCCATCGCAATCCCCAGACCTGAATCCAATAGAAACTTTGTGGGAAATTTTGGATCAACACATTAGGACCAAATTCTACAAAAATAAGCAAGAATTATTTGCAGCTTTGGAAGAGTCTTGGTAAAATATCGATTTTTCTATAATTGAGAATCTTCTGGGAGCCATGCCTAAGCGATGTCTGAAAGTAATTAAGAATAAGGGTTATTACACTAAGTACTAGTAAATTATAAGTTAATTTTTCAGTTTTTGTTAACATAAGATTTTTTTTTATTAAATATATATTTTGTTCATCTACTTTTGTCCAATAGTTTTTTCAATTTAAATTTTTTGCTACCTTATTAAAGCACATTTTAAAAAAAAACAATGCTATTTATTTTTATAGCACTGACACTAGACTTCAAGTAAATATAGCTCAAATTTTAATTTTAAACATATTAGGAAAAACCCATTATTTTAACAAAGTTCATCCACTTATGGCCAATACTGTAATTTTCTAAATTACTAAAGTAATGTATATAGAACTGGTAGACAGAAAAGGCATTCTAATAAATAACATAACACTGGAAATAGTAGAAAAAAAAATATATAAACTGCCCGTCAAATTAAATACCATAGCGATTTTTTACTCATTTTCAACGAGTTGTAACTTTGAAAAAAATGGACCAATTTTGTTGATTTTTTTAGCATATTAAAGATCGGTTTTCGTAAATTGACCTGATTTTTCTAAATTTTGTATGAGATTTAGTTTTCTATGATATATAAGGTGTGAAAAAAAGGAATGTAATTTTTGTAATTTTTGTGTTGCTGCCAAAAACCTCTTTGTAAACCTCGAAACAAATGAAATAATGCACTTTACTCTATCGTTGACTCACCCTGTACAAAAGTTTACTAAAAACAATATGTCAATTATTATTTTTGCAATATTTAACTAATTATAGTTCCAACCTACCACCGCACCGTATTATTTGATAAATTAATACCAAATTAATATTTTGTTTTAGATATGGAGAATAGTAATCATGGGAATGATTTCAAAATCAATATCTACACATACTGTTTATGACGTATACGCATTCTACGTTTTTTATTGTATTGCTTTAACATATATCTTAGTGTCAATAGTATTAAATGGATGTTTTGTATGGGGAATCTACAAGGTGGGTATAAAAAATAAAAGACCAGTTTTAGAGATCCTTATTAAGGACTAAAATGCTATTGATATATCGTTTTTAATCGTTATAAATGTTAGTAAGTTATAATTTATCATTTATACTTGTTTAATATTTTAGAGAAGAAAATGTTTTGTATTAGGATACATAATAGTTTTAGCCACTGAAATGACAATCGGAGTTATAGGTGTATCAGCGATAGTCATGCTATTATTTGCAGTTTCAGTAGTTGGATATGGATTTTTGTTCATATTTGTTACGGCTATATCTATAGGTAAAGAGTTAGTTATTCATTCTGTTCTTTTTTTCATGCTGATATTTCTTTTTAGCCATTGCCTTCCTAATTTGGCTACACCATGTTCTCTTGTACAAGGATTTTGAAGAGGTGGACAGTTTCAGACCAAATGGAGAAAGAAATATGTCTCTGTCAGAATGAGGAAAATGCATGTTTTTAAATAATGGTTTTAAAAAATAGTTCATATAATTACAAACTGAACAAAAAAAATCGTTGAAATCGGTTAAGAAATGCCTCTAATATAAAATAATTAAATATTGTTAATTTAAATGGCCGGGCAAACGCTCTCTACCGCGCCTTGCCGCTGTGACGTCACCCGCCGTTCTTCTGGTTGAGTGGAGCCAGACGCTTGTTTATTTTACACAGTTTGCTTTTAAACACTGTTGAATCCGAGTCAAAATTTTAGTTATTTGTGTTAATTAATACATAATTAGTAATTAGTGATATTTATAAATGGTAATGGATGAGCGAAAACAGAAAAAAATGGTCCAAGGCCATGAGAAGAGATGAAAAAAGAAAAACGTTAAATTATCCTCTACTTTTACGATTTATTGTTATGAAGATCATTTTGATGTAAGTTCATATATTTATGTATATTGTCTTACATAGGTATATGAAATTTGAATGTACAGGGTTATTCATTATATTTTGACACCCACATACAGCCTTAACTGCAAGTTTTAGAAGAAAACATTAAATAAAAAAGTTGCATGGCTTTTCATATACTCTCTTTTAAAATTAATTCTAGTTATACAGGGTGTCTCAAAAAAGGTGGTCCAGAAAATAGTAGGTATTTTTCGCTTTTCAACTGTCAATATTTCGTAAACATTTGAAGATAGGCATAGGATATTAGACATGAAATATATCTAGAATATCTAGAAATTTCCGAAGAATCCAAAAATATATAGGGTGTTTCACTTAAAAAAGTAACTTAATTTTGGCGTTTGCTTATGGGACACCTTGTATAATATTTTCATTACTGATAAACAATTTATTTCCTATAATTTCGTAAAAAAAGACAATCTTTAAAAATAACAAGGGTAAGGGGGTGTCAATATATAAAAAAACTTTCTTTTTCACGCTATGCTCTGGAGTTATTTTTCCACGTACTAAACAAATATTTTTGTCTCTTTTCACTTCTACATAACCTACAGCATTATCTCCATACGTCTCCCTACCTGATCTGAAAAATAAGTTTATAACATTAATATTTATAACTATATAAAAGTTCGTAACAGTAGGTACCTACTTATACTTAAATATGCTTCAGTACTACAAAGAATAAATGTTACATACCTCTCTGTTTTTTCCTAGTAATTCAGCACCAATAAATTGGGAATTTGTATTTATAAAAGCAGCGAACATAAAAAGATCGACTTTTGGCAATTTATCTGATTGTGCTTTTACAAACCCGGAATCTGCCATTACTTAAAAAATTCTCAAAACACACAACACATACAAATAATAACTGCACAAAAAAGCAAAAAAAGCTCCTTCAATCAACGCTAAAAGCAACAAAAATGTCTTAGTACGCCACCTAAATACGTACATAAACGGAACACGTCTGGCTGCTGCTGGCCATCGCGCGTCGACGAGAACGGCGCACACTGTTGCGCTCAATGGACATAATTCAAAAATGCATGTATTTATTTTTGGGTTTGTAAATACACCTATCTTTAGAGGAATGTCTGCTGATAATAAAAATAGAATGTTCTTTTTTTATTGTTTACGAATTCCAAAGAAACAGAGATAAAGAAACGAAAATAATTTTGTGCGTTAATTGAAAGATTAGTGTAAAATTTATTCTATAAGAGGCACTTTGTCATTTTAAGTTTTTTTATTATTTTTTAACATTAAGGAGACTATGGATATTAATTTAGAAGGTAAGCAGTCAGTTACGTTATTTGCCTTTAGTATTTATTTAATTTAAAAAAAAAAAAAAAAAAAATTCAACTTTGACTTAGAATTACAAAAAATATATCAATATAGTCCGAAGAAATTTTGAAAATAAAATCTTTAAACAATTTAGTTTAAAATGATAACAATCATTTTTTGCGGAGATTTGCGGAATTTGCTATTTTTCTATTTTTAGAACAATCCTCTGCTATTCCCAACAGCATGTTATACGAAAAATGGGTAACTTGTAAAAAAAATAACTTGTAATAAAAAATATAATATAATATAATATATATATATATATATATATATATATATATATATATATATATATATATATATAACTTGTAAAATAATAACTCAGTTTATAATCATCTGCTGATGATGCTAACATGGTTAGCGAAACGCACGTCCAGTGTAAAATAAAAGTGTTTTGGTGTATTGTGGTGATTTAGTGTTTTTATTTTGCTGTGTAACACCAAAGGTTCCAACCCTCAACTGTAATATTGTAGAATTAAAATAATATACATCATGTTTTGCGCATTTTTGCGATTTTTGTTAATTTTCTATTTTTAAAGAAATCCTCTGCTATTTTCAATTTAGGATTTTATACCAAAAAATGCCAAATATTTATTTTTAAATTTATAATATATTTTTTAAGTTTCTAGCACATTTTCAAAAATACGTCAAATGTATTAAAACCATAGCAAATTCTTTAACCCTCTAAGTGGGGGTATCATCCCCAATTTATTTCCAATGGAAATAGGGGTCAAGTAATATTTTATTAAGAGGACTTTAATTTATCTATATAATGCTGGTTATTTTTTGAAAGTTAATCAACCCCTTAGGAAAATAGTAGGGTTTGAAATTGGGGATGATACCCCACTTGAATGTTGAAGATTTCTCTATGGATTTTACCCTAAAATAACGTATTTTTAAAATTTGTTTAAAAACCTTCCAAATTTCTTGATATAATTTATTTTGCATTTTTTCCTTATTATTGATATTTCAAACCTCCATATTTTTAATAGGGGCTTATCGATTTTGGAGAACTATACACCAATATTTAGGTAAATAAAAGACCTTTTCAATAAGGTATAAATTGGCCCCTCTTTCCATGTGAAAAATTTTGGGGGATGACACCCTCGCATAGGGGATGACAATTTTGCAATCATTTTTGGAGCAAAAGTTGGCTCTCTTATAAACAAAAGAAATAAAAATAGTCGCAATAATTAATATTAGTTTGTTTTCAAAATATGAATTTTGACCCAATTTCCCAATAAGGTGCAACACTGTGCGGCGGGTGACGTCAGACCAATAGAATACCGTTTCAATTCGCGAGGCGTCGTTTGCGTTATCCATAGTATTTTAATGGCCCGTTTTATAAAATTGTGGTACTGCTTTCAAGAATTTTTTTTTTGAATTTACAAACAGTTTCTGGCGAAAAATAAAATATATGCATCTTCCTCATTCACAAGAAGTTGGTAAAGTCTTAAAAAAATTCAAGAATAACTATTCAAATTAAGAATATATGTATATTTTAAAACTTATTTCATAGGAATTCTGTATATATTTTTATTATGTATATTTTTTAATAAAATTCAAAAAATGTATATTTATTTAGTTTTTCCATAAATATTCTCTGCATTCTATTCTTTAGAAAAATATCACAAAGTATTATCACCGAATTTTTAAGATTTTTTCATCAAAATGTTAAATTTAGCCTATTTTAAAAATTAGGCAAAATAAAAATTAAAGTAAATTTATATAACTTTATTAAAATACTTACTCAAAACAACTTTCTATATATAACAATCATGCAATATAAATATTTCTTCATAAAAATACCTACATGTATAACAAATAAAAAATGTTAGCTAAAAGGCACTGCATATACGAATAAAAAATATATAAAAAAAGTTTTTTTCTATGTAAAGGGTTAGAGAGAGTAACATTGACAAACAAGTTTAATAAAATATTAAGAACTATAAGATATAAATATTGATAACATCTAAGTTGTTATTCTGCAGATCCTTCAGGTAATAAATCAAACCAAGAGTGGTAGGGTTGAGTTATATTAAACTTGCCTAAATCAATAATAACCTAAAATTATAAAAAAGTTATGTTAAGACCTCAAATAACGTCCTCTGGTTAATTATTGAATAACTTATTAACCTCGAATTTAACTACAGTATGTCCACTGATTGTTTATACAAGAGAACAAACTTTTTTATTATGGACATTTTGAGAAAAAGGCATTCTTCATAAAAATTTTTGCTTGTTCTAAAATGGTTTAATCCCGTTTATATAATTTTCTAAATTTCCATACCGTTTTAGAGAAAATGAGGATAAAATATAGTTAAATTTTAGTTAAAGTCCTAAACATAGGTCCAAAAAATCAAAACGCGTTTCTATGGTAATATAACTACGTTTTCCTTTGAATAAGAAGACTAAGGAAGGAGTATAATGCTATCCATGTATTCATGCATGGTGGGCGGAAAAAGGACTCTAGGGTGGGGATCCTTGACAGTTCTGTTTGACGATTCATTTGACACATTTGAATTTGATTTGAAATTTTGTGGATTTGTCTATTTTATGTTATGTATTATTTATGCTACTACTGATAGTTGTATAAAGGTAGTAAATCTAGATGGAAATTGTGGCAGAACTTAAATTAACAGTGACACTATCGCGATTTATCGAAAAAGACTCTAAAATAGTTGGTTGTGTAGCGTGCGGTAGATCTCGGCAAAAATCGAGTGAAATAATGGAACAACTTTTCGCTAGTAAGTGACTATATAATATACATACGTGTAGTAAACCGATCATTTATGAAAGTCACTTAAATTAACTAGCTTTTATTTACTACTTGTCAAAGATTAGATGTCAAAGAATTTAGATACGTCAATTTGACTTACCTGCTTCAGTAGCGTATCGAATGTTTGTGTTAATAGATAATTATTAAAACTTATCTATTTTTATTATAGTAATATGTTTTTAGAACAATTTTAATAACTACCAACATTTATTCACAACGCAAAATAAAAAAAATATTGAGTTTACCCCACGCCTACCCTACATCATAGTTTTACATAAAATTAGAACGGCACTGATAAACCGGAATTTAAGTCGGCAATATTTGAGTCCCATCGCGGTGGACCTAAGATTTTTGATATGCTCCTTTCTTAGTCTTCTTATTCAAAAGTATAATTTAATAAAGTTACTGTAAATCACTACAAATAATAATAAACCAAACAAAACAGACCACAGACCACACAAAACAAATTGTTGATTAGAAGTTAGAAGTAGACAGAGATATAAATGTAGTAATATTTTGGTTTAATAGTAACAGCTGTCAGGGCTATCCGGTCGGGTGATAGAATTAGCGTTTTCTAATAAAAATTAAAAAAACATTATAAAATTCAAATCCTTCAATTTAATAGATGTTAGTAAGAAGTTTTAGTTCAAATATGCGCACATAGCGCACACACTGTTTTTTAGGACTTTTTCAGCCATATTCAACCATAACGGTATGGAAATTTGAAGAAGTATACCAAGGTTTACCATTTTAGAACACACAAACAATTTTATAAAGAATTCATTGCTCAAAATGTAAACAATAAAAGTTTTTCCCGTCAAGACAATCAGGGGACATACTGTATATAAAAATACAAATGCCAAATTGATACATAAAAATTCCAATTTACTCGTACTGATAGAGACAATTTTGCTAGGAAATGCCCTTAATAACAACAATAATAGTTAATAGTAGTCACATGTTAATACTGTTGTTAATATTTTTAGCAAACAGTGTAAACTAACAATAATCAAATATGTTAGATGCGTTAGCGAAATATTTTTTATTTAACTGTATTAGCTAAATACACACACCGGAAAAGTCTAGGGATATTACAATTTTATCCAGCCATCGTCAGTAATTTTATTATTTGCATTTCTGATATAATAAAATTAAAATAAACAAATAGTTTACAGGACGTATTGGAAATAAAAATGCGAAATTTACCGAATTTTTCAAATTTACCTTGATTTTTATTGAACTCAAAAAAATACACACATTTTTTTTTAATTCTAAACTGTGAATTAAAAAAAAGATAAAACCACTTTTACTTAAAAAAGGTATGGCCTCCTCTACTGTTCATTACAGCCCTACATCGTCTCTCCATGCTCCTGATCAGGTTGCCGATCTCTTCTTGAGGTACAGCCTGCCACGCTGCATTCACGGCCCGAACCAGATCCCTACGAGTTTCACGAGGCATACCCATTCTCAAAATTCTTCTTTGAACCGCGTCCCATACGTGCTCGATGGGGTTGAGGTCAGGAGATTGTGCCGGCCAGGGTAAGATGTTTAATTGATGAGCATTGATAAACTCACTTAGCACTCTGGCTGTATGAGGCCGTGCATTGTCATGCATGAGAATGAAGTTTCTCCCAAAATTATTGGCATATGGTAACACGACAGGCTCAAGAATTAAATCACGATATGTGATTCCTTTAAGTTGTTAGAAACCTTTTAAGACAAACGAGATCGGTTTTTCGGCCTAACTGGACTCCTCCCCAGACCATAACTGTTCCACCTTGATAAGGGTGCACTTCCTGAACATGATCCAACCGAATAAGATTTCCCGGTTCTCTCCATACCCTAAGCCATCTCGAATCCGGATGCATTCCAAAGCGTGACTCATCTGTGAAGAGAACATTGGCCCATTGTTCACTGTTCATTGTTGCGAACAGTGTCAAGACTAACGGTTATATTATGTGTTTCCTGGAGAATTAAACTAAGCTCTGGTGCTGTAAGAGTCGGTCGGCGTCGAGCATTTAATTGTAAAAAATGATCTTGCTGAGGGGTAGTAATGCGATGTCGCCCTGTGTGCCTTTCAGCAACGTCACCAATTTCACGGTAGCGTGCACTTAATCGCGATATTACACTTTGCGTTGTATTTAATGCTCTAGCTACGTCGACTTGGCGCATTCCAGCTTCGAGCATACCCACGGCCCTTAGCATTTCGTCTCTGTTAAGATGTCTACGCTCCATAATGTCGTTTAATACTAAACAGAGTTATTTGAATGAATTTTGGCAAGTTATCATAAAAACATAGCCAGTACAGGTTAAATTCGAACAATTGATGCTAGGTGCTTTTTATACATTTGACAAAAAATGCACAAACACTTCTGCAAATATCCCAAATTAAGAAATAACTAGTGTAACTACTTCGTTTCAATCGAAGTAGAAAGAATCGGCCTACAAATATGTGGTTGTTTATTCAAAACATTTATTTTTAACTTTAATAAAATGATATCCCTAGATTTTTCCGGTGTGTGTAGATTTAGCTTTGGTAGCTTAAATGAATTATACCATCACCATTAAATTTTTGTTTACACAAAATACGAAAATTATACAGATATAACAAGAGCATTATTTGGTGTTTGGTTTGGTCCTACAAACAAAAAGAAATTTTGATTTTTTGATTACTCACCTGGCCTAAAACGTTACTGCTAGAGTAAAAAACTTGCTTTTGCGTTCCTACAGTAATCTCCAATTTCTTATTCGACACTTCAGCCTGATTAATAATATATTCAAAACTTTCATCAAAGACTGGATTACAATTGTCTTTTACCACCTATGAAACGTCAAAAATGATCACAATTAGTCTTGTTCTATAATAAACGAAAAAAATATACGCACCTGAGTTTTCCTTTTACTGTCCTTAGCTCTTTCCGGTAAAAGATACAATTTGACATATGGATCTGGAATACTGGATGGATCTTTCAGCGGAATATTTCTAAATAAAATAAAAAATAACCAATCTTCTAAGTTATAGTCTGTCCAACGAGAAGATCCTTGACAGTGATAGATGTGTCTGTCATTTTAATTTCAAAATAGTTTATTTTATTTTACAAAGAAATAAGTTGGTACAGCTGGAACGCATAGCATATATGCTGACAAGTAACTTCAAAATATTGTGAAAAAAAACTGTATAAAACTGAAAAAATGTAATCGAGTTATTTTATTTAATAAAAAACGGTATGTGTTAATACAAAACAAACAAAAACAAGACACCACATACCAAAAAATATAAAAAAGAACTATTTCTTACTTTCAAGCTTTATGAAACTTCTCGCATTTATGATTATATTTATCAATATAACTTATGTACAAATACAAATTTGTAATATTCCCCAGGAATAAATAAAACAACATAAATAAAACAAACTATTTTATAGTATGATAACACTTCCCAAATTTTATACCTCACAGGTTGAATAATTAACTTTAATCTTAATGTTTTCTAAACCATTACCTTTTGACAGTATTTTTCTGCAGTACTAAAATCCATTATTTACCTATCGATATTATTTACCTATGATGTCGATATTTTACAGCTACTCCAGTTTTTAGTATGTGTTTAGTATGGTCTTTCTACCATATTCGAGATGCACTTATCTACGACGAGATGGTATACGAACTTTATTGATAGTAACTTTATTGGTGTATCTGTATAAGACTTTCTGCCTGGGCAGCGAGTATTAACCATCAACTGTACTCTGGGTTCTACAGTTAATTTTCACTCGATTTTTCCTCCACTTGACTTCAAAAGACACAAAACACACGTAATAACACGAATCAAAATGCATCATCTTCCAAAACGCAGGGTATTTAACAAGAGTTGTCACAAAATTATAACCTGTAATTTGGCAAGACTTTGACAAACGTCAAAAATCTAAAGGCGAGTTCATACGCACCGGCGTCCGTTTGTCGTTCATCGTTCCGTCAAACCAATAAAAATGAAATACGATCTGTCATTTTTGAAATAACCCAATAAAACTGGTTAAAAACAACAAGTGACGACGCATGATGAATTTATATTTAAACCCATCCATAGGTAACTTAAAAATTATTAGAAACTTTTTTTAGTAAAACAAATAGATTGGTATGGGACGTCATCTGCTTTTCTTCTGTCATCGTCTGTCGAAATCTTACCTGAGAAAAAAAACAGAGTTATATTTTTGTATCAACATAGATCCGATTCTGTTTTGTTTCGTAGCTACAGAAGGTTAACGCCGATACGTTTTAAGATTTTTGAGAGTTGTCAAACTCTTGCCAAATTATAGGTTATAATTTTGTGTCAAATTATGTCAAATAGAAATGATAAATATTTTGCATTTTGCATTTTGGAATGTGTTATTACGTGTGTTTCGCGTTTTTTAAAATTAAGTGGAGGAAAACTCAAAGGGGAAATTAAGTGTTGACACAGACTAATATTCGGTGCCCAGAGACAGTTTGCCAGAGAGTTGTATTAGCCACAAATAAACTTTGTATACTATCTTGTATACGATACAAAAAACTGGAGTGTCTATAAAATAGCAGCACACAATTAATTAGATAAATAATCATCGTATTCAATAATTATATTGATAAATGTAACAATAAATGCAGGAAGTTGCTTGAGCTTGAAACACGGCTTGAAAGCAGAAAATCTTTTTTATATCTTTTTTTTGGTATGTGGTGGTTTTAAAATACACCCTTGCTTGTTTTGTATTAACACATACTGTAATTGTTTTTAATAAAATAACTCGATTAGATTTGTTCAATTTTATACAGTTTTTTTTCACAATAATAATTTATTAATTTTCTGCTATGCGTTCCAATTGTACCAACTTATTTCTTTGTAAAATAAAATAAACTACTTTGAAAACAAAATGACAGATACATCTATCACTGTCAATGATCTTGTCATTGGACAGACTATATTTAAAATAATTAGAAAAAAAAACTTGCATTAAGTCAAATCTTTGAATAAGAAGACTAAGGAAGGAGCATAATGCTATCCATGTATTCATGCATGGTGGGCGGAAAAAGCTCTCTAGGGTGGGGATCCTTGACAGTTCTGTTTGACGATTCATTTGACACATTTGAATTTGATTTAAAATTTTGTGGATTTGGCAGTCTTTACGGAGCTTATTTTATGTTATTTATTATTTATTCTACTACTGATAGTTGTATAAAGGTAGTAAATCTAGATGGAAATTGTGGCAGAACTTAAATTAACAGTGACACTATCGCGATTTATCGAAAAAAACTCTAAAATAGTTGGTTGTGTAGCGTGCGGTAGATCTCGACAAAAATTGAGTGAAATAATGGAACAACTTTTCGCTAGTAAGTGACTATATAATATACATACGTGTAGTAAACCGATCATTTATGAAATTCACTTAAATTAACTAAATTATATATTTTTCTTGCATTTTAACTTTTATTTATTACTTGTCAAAGATTAGATGTCAAAGAATTTAGATACGTTAATTTGACTTACCTGCTTCAGTAGCGTATCGGATGTTTGTGTTAATAAATACTTATTATAACTTATCTATTTTTATTAGAATTATATATTTTTATAACAATTTTAATAACTACCAACATTTATTCACAACGTAAAATAAAACAACAAATTATTGAGGATACCCCACGTCTACCCTACATCATAGTTTTACATTTTTTAAATAAAATTAGAACGACACTGATAAACCTGAATTTAAGTCGGCCATATTTGAGGCCCATCGCGGTGTACCTAAGATTTTTGATATGCTCCTTCCTTAGTCTTCTTATTCAAAGAGTCAAATCAATAAAATTGCGTTTATGTCGTCAAGGAGACCGCAATCGACAAAATATCAAGAGGAAACTTAATCGGCATCTTTGAATAAGAAGACTAAGGAAGGAGCATATCAAAAATCTTAGGTCCACCGCGATGGGACTCAAATATGGCCGACTTAAATTCCGGTTTATCAGTGCCGTTCTAATTTTATTTAAAAAATGTAAAACTATGATGTAGGGTAGACGAGGGGTAGACTCGATATTTTTTTTTATTTTACGTTGTGAATTAACTTTTTGGTAGTTATTAAAATTGTTATAAAAACATATTATTATAATAAAAATAGATCAGTTTTAATATTTATTTATTAACACAAACATCCGATACGCTACTGAAGCAGGTAAGTCAAAATGACGTATCTAAATTCTTTGACATCTAATCTTTGACACGTAGTAAATAAAAGCAAAAATGCAAAAAAAAATATAATTAGTTAATTTAAGTGAATTTCATAAATGATCGGTTTACTACACGTATGTAAATTATATAGTCACTTGCTAGCGAAAAGTTGTTCCATTATTTCACTCGATTTTTGCCGAGATCTACCGCACGCTACACAACCAACTATTTTAGAGTCTTTTTCGATAAATCGCGATAGTGTCACTGTTAATTTAAGTTCTGGCACAATTTCCATCTAGATTTACTACCTTTATACAACTATCAGTAGTAGCATAAATAATAAATAACATAAAATAGACAAATCCACAAAATTTCAAATCAAATTCAAATGTGTCAAATGAATCGTCAAACAGAACTGTCAAGGATCCCCACCCTAGAGTCCTTTTTCCGCCCACCATGCATGAATACATGGATAGCATTATGCTCCTTCCTTAGTCTTCTTATTCAAAGATCGGCATTAAACATTCATTTCCAAGCCAACTCTGACGCCGTTCTTTGTTTAGTCATATCAAATTAAATTGTTTAATGATAAAAATATAACCAAGACATTGCAATTGTGGAAACGAACAAATATAGGCAAAAGCGTTCAACATAAGAGTTTTCTTTTAAATAAAATACCGTTTGCCATATTTTCAAACTTACGAAATTTTATGCACAACCACAATAAGTCTTTGCCTCTGAATACTGTATCTCAATGTGAGTTGAATCCTACCTAATCCGGCATCGCCTGCATACCTATAAAACGCACGTCTTATAAATCATACCATTTGTAGTACATGGATAAAACTTACGAGGTGTCGCTTACAGACCTATGAAGGAGCTGCTCACCGGGAGCAGTTTCCGAATAACTGTTCAAAGATGAATAATTACTGCTTTCAATAAGTTCTTCTGTTGGTTCTTCACTAACATCTTTAGGTAGAGACTTTGGTTCCTCAGATCCTTTAAAAGACTGTTTCGAATCTATAGAAATAAACGTGGTAATTTAAAATAGATAATTAACTTTAATATTAATATAAACCATATAACCACAAAACAATAGATACACTTTTAAGTTATGTTATACTGAGCTGGTCATCTTAAATCTGTGTTAAGTTACCTATTTTACAATGAAAGATAGATATAGAGATACAAAAAATTGTAACGCTGTCAGTTCCAGCGTGTTGTATGTCTACCACATTTGTTCTTTAAAGGTTAGTTATGTCCATTGCCTGGAAACTTATATGCTGAAATTTTGATAAAATAATTTAGTACACACTAAAAACACGGTATGTCGCTAGTGGTAGGAAAAATAATTTTTAGAGGTTACTAGTTTATTTGGTTGCCTGTGATATGCATATACAGGGTGTTTCCTAATTAATCTAAAATATAAAAAATCGTTAGAAAACGAATTAAGTCGGGCTCTTAATAAGTATATTTATTTTTTTCTCGACAACCGTTTGATGAACAAGAAAAACTCAAAAGATCAATTTTGTTGAAAAAGGATGGCCAGTCAAGAAAAAAAATGTTTTTTCTTTAAAAAAGCAGTGTTGTACCATTTATGTTAAGCAAAAAAATCGATTTTTTTTAATTTTTAACACCCTGTAGATCAGAAAGGAAGTACTTTAGACCCAATGGTTATATAAAAATTGTTTTAAGAACACATGAGGAATCACACCATAATTTTTTTAGCCTAATTCGAAAACACCCTGTATATTGTCAACTTGACAATGACTGCTGATAAATCAAAAAATACCTTTTCAGTGAAAAAAGCCTGATTTTTGCAGGAAAAATTTTGATTTTTATTGAATTTGGGTCTGCGTTTGCAAATAATCGTTTGTTTTTTAATTTTCTATCTATCTAAATTTTAAATATCATAGTCAGAAATAGTTTTATTATTTATTAACTGTAAAAATGGTGTTTTCTTGTTGTGTTGCATCTTGCAAAGAAACTAACAAAACTGCAAAAATGTACGTGTTTCCAAAAGACGATAAGGTATGTATCTTAGATAAAAGAAAAATATATGGTATGTATTCGTTGTTTGATTTTTTTTCCGTTCGCTTTAAAATCTATAAATCTCGGTCTATTCATTAGACAGCCAGTCGACTTACGATCATTTACATGAAACTCTGTAAAATAAATAAAAAAATAAATTGTAAAATATATATATTCTTATGTTTTATTAAAGTTACTCTGATATATATCAGTGTAACTTTAAAAATAAATCCTTTGAATTCAAATATAAACATAAAAAACATTTACAGCAGAAAAGGCGAAGGCGCTGGGTTATAAACGTAGTCTCCACTAAAAACACGGAGGGGCGCTTTGACCCAAAATTTTACTATTAAGTTTCATATCTATCTTAATAGTAGATTATTTTCTTTTATCTATGGTTATGTCAGAATAAAATGGATTAAAGCGGGCACAAGATTCGAAATATTATATGAGGTATTACAACTATAATACAATGACTAATTGTTGATATATTAATAGTCCAATCTTAGCTGCAATGCTTTTTGAATCGTCTCTTGGACGGTTTAATATTATTGGTGGAAAATCCAGCGACACCGCATAGAAATGTATCAATATACTTTTTGTTTTATTATATATATGTTACAAAGATAGGTTAAAGTAAAGTTAAAGTATTTTTTCGTCTCCTTTTTCTGCTAGGAGAGCCAATCTGGACGGGTCATACCTTGTTTACGCGGGAGGTAGACTCGATTAACGTTTCGGGAAATATATCTCTTCCCGTCGTCGAAAACAAAAAAAAAACAAAAGGAACACAAGAAAAAAACTATTTAAAATATCTAAAATACAACTATTCAAAAACACTTCCGTTTTTTTTTCAACAAATACCTCTAAAAAACCTAAAAATAATATATCTACGAGCCCTAACAACTATATGTTGGGACAAGGTCATATTTTGGAATTATTGCCCTGGTTTTTCAAAATGACTGAAAAATATATGTTTAATTTTTTAAATATAAACATAGCCATATATCCTAAACAACTGGACAATATTTTTATGAATTTGTAAATCAATCCATATTTACAGTAGCGGATTTTGTTCAAAAAGGGACAAATATGCTGACAACTAAATGTTGGGACAAGCATTTTTAAATAATTAATGTCATCATAGGCGGCTTTGCTATAAACGTCACAAATGTCGCAAACTGTTTAGTTCAACATTGACAGCTTGTAAGTGACTCGATACTTTGAGTATACTCTGTTTTTTTTCTCAGGTAAGATTTCGACAGACGATGACAGAAGAAAAGCAGATGACGTCCCATACCAATCTATTTATTTTACTAAAAAAAGTTTCTAATAATTTTTAAGTTAACTATGGATGGGTTTAAATATAAATTCGTCATTCGTCACTTGTTGTTTTTAACCAGTTTTATTGGTTTATTTCAAAAATGACAGATCGTATTTCAATTTTATTGGTTTGACGGAACGATGAACGACAAACGGACGCCGATGCGTATGAACTCGCCTTTAGATTTTTGACGTTTGTCAGAGTCTTGCTAAATTATAGGTTATAATTTTCTGACAACTTTTGTCAAATACCCTGCGTTTTGGAAGATGATGCATTTTGATTCATGTTATTACGAGTGTTTTGTGTCTTTTGAAGTCAAGTGGAGGAAAAATCGAGTGAAAATTAACAGTAGGGAGCACAGGTTATGGTTAATAGTCGCTGCCCAGGCAGAAAGTCTTATACAGATACACCAATAAAGTTACTATCAATAAAGTTCGTATACCATCTCGTCGTAGATAAGTGCATCTCGAATATGATAGAAGGACCATACTAAACACATACTAAAAACTGAGAGTAGCTGTAAAATATCGACATCCCACGATAGGTAAATAATGCATTTTAGTACTGCAGAAAAATAATGTCAAAAGGTACTGGCTTAAAAAAATTAAGATTAAAGTTAATTAATCAACCTGTGAGGTATAAAATTTGGTAAGTGTTATTATTAATAAAATAGTTTGTTTTATTTATGTTGTTTTATTTATTCCTGCGGAATATTACAAATTTGTATTTGTACATAAGTTATATTGATAAAATATAATCATAAATGCGGGAAGTTTCATAAAGCTTGAAAGTAAGAAATAGTTCTTTTTTATATTTTTCGGTATTTGGTGTCTTGTTTTTGTTTGTTTTGTATTAACACATACCGTTTTTTATTAAACAAAATAACTCGATTACATTTTTTCAGTTTTATGCAGTTTTATTCACAATATTTTGAAGTTACTTGTCAGTCAAATTTTAAATACATATATTAATTTCCTGCTACCTGCTATGCGTTCCAGTTGTACCAACTTATTTCTTTGTAAAATAAAATAAACTACTTTGAAATTAAAATGACAGACACATCTATCACTGTCAAGGATCTTCTCGTTGGACAGACTGTAGTGAGATACTGTACTGTAAGTAATTTTAATTTTTTTAATTTTCAATTTTGTTAATTTAATTCAAAGTAATGGTCCGTGAAAAAGCTACAAATCAAAAACTACGCGAAATTATCATTCGTCAATACAGTACGGGAAAAACAATTCGAAAAATTTCTGATGATTTAAGTATTCCAAAAACCACGGTCTTTAATATAATAAAAAAATACGGCGAATCTGCCAATGTAGACGTTAGAGGTAAAAGTTCGGGAAGGCCAAAAGTTGTATCTCAGAGAGATTTACGAAATTTAGTAAAATTTTGCAAGTCTGTGAGAAGAAGTACTCTTCGCGAAGTAACAGTGAAATGGAATACTGTAACTGGTTTAAATATATCAAGAGAATGTTGCCGAAAATATATCCATAAATGCGGTCTGGGGTTTTACAAGGTAAACTTTATTTTGTGTGGATAATCAATTATCTGAAGATTACTGATACAAATTCTTATTTTTGGCCAAAGAAAAACCGCTACTGACAGAAATTCAAAAGAAAAATCGCTACAATTGGGCAAAATCTAAATTATGGTGGACACAAAATAAATGGAATAAGGTCATATTTAGCGATGAGTCTAAATTTGATGTTTGCGTTGGAGATCATCGAAAATGAATAATACGAAATAAAGCAGAAGCGGCCTTTCATAAAGATTGCTTAAAGAGAGTTGTTAAATTTCCTAAGGGGATTATGGTTTGGGATTGCATGTCAGCAAGAGGTTTGGGCAAATTAAATTTTATAGATGGCACTGTTAACACCCAAAAATATCAACATATACTTCAGACCTTACTTTTGCCTAGTGCTCAAGAATTGTTTCCAAACGAAGACTACATTTTTCAACAAGATGGAGCATCGTGCCATTCAGCAAAATCAACTAAAAATTGGTTTGGTAATAATAATATAAAAGTTCTATCCCATTCTGAAGCAATATTTAAAAAACCACCCTCAACGAACAATTTTTAATTTGCAGACAAAACTGCAGGAAATTTGGGATAATTTTTCTCCTCAAATGTGCCAATCTTTGGTAAATACAATGCCATTAAGAATTCAGGCAATTGTTAAGGCGAAAGGTGATGTAACTCCGTTTTAAACACATTTCCTGTTGTGCTGTCCCAATATATAGTCAGCAAATTTGGCTTGATTTTGGCAAAATAAGCTATTATCAAAAGTGATTTGTTTGCAAAGTTATAAAAATATAGTAAAATTGTCTAGACAATATTGTAATGTTTGAATCTAAAATAATAAACAATATAAATTGAGTCGTTTTAACAAATTACTATTTTTATTGCAAAAAAAGACCTTGTCCCAACATATAGTTGTTAGGGCTCGTAGTAAGCTAGTATCTGTTGAAAAAAACTAAAATGTTTTTGAAGAGATTAATATGCCACAGAGGTATAGATATTTTTTAATATTATTTATACCAAACTCTCTAAAACTGACGTATAATTTTCATTTACCATAAAAATATATCTACGGTTTTCGGTACCTACACGTATTTTATTTATTTAAATGAAATGATTAAAGTAAACAGTATTAAATCATGTTTTAGTCAGTTTCTTGTTGCTTACCTATAGAAGCACTAGATATTGTAGAACTTGTTCTTTGCAGTGGTGGTTGATCTCCTTGCATTTCACTTATTTCTTCGGCAGTTCTTTTTAATATCTAACAAATAGACTATTAATAATAAAAGAAAATATTACAAAAATATCCATTTTTCTTACCCTCAAATGCATTGACAGAACAATTCTAGTTTCTGGACCAGATTTTAATAAAGTGAAAGGTTCCTTGCTTAACTCCAAGTTGGGCCTAGTTGAAAGCTGTTTAATTTTATAAGTGAGTTGTCCTATATCTGAATTTGTTTTTTGGTCGGTGACAGTTAAATACAAGCTGTCGTTTTCGGGGTTCCCAACTAAAAAGGTAAATCCTTTCTCCCACACAGGGTGTATCGATCTCATAACGGTATCGGTTTTTTCAGTTTTGCCTCCGACGCGCAATACAGCATATGGGTCTGGTTTTGTAGAAGATCTGGCTTGCTAAAATAAATATACAAATTTGCAAAATTTTGCGATTTTCCTAAGAGTTCTGTAGTGTTAAGAAAATAGATTCGGAACGTGAAGTGATATCAGTAAAAGGGCCCCTACTTAAGTACAGGGTGTCCCACTAAGAATAGCTCTCGGCTGTATCTCGGAAAGTATTAGCCGTAGGGGCTGCGGAAAAAAATATTTCTAACTAAAGAGGCTATGAGAAATTGCTGGAAATGATTTTCAAGTTTGTAGAACGACCGCTAGGGGGCGCAACTGCAACAAAAAATAAGAAAATGAAGTTTTTACACAATTTTGCCAGATAAGGTGCTTTATAATCTTCAGTGAATTTTGAATATTTTTTGTTAAAGCCATTTTTCCCTATCTAGCAAAATAAAGTGGTGGGGGAAGGTTAGATCTGTTTTTATTTAAATATTAATAACTCTGGACTGGATGATCGGAATTCAACAAGCAAGGGCTCGTTTAAAAGAGCGTTTCATGCTCTATATTATACAATATAAACAATAATAATAAGCTTTTGAGCGTAGACGCTAGGGGGCGTTGTCTTACAATTTAACAAACATTGCGCGTTTTTTCAAAAAAATTAAATGCAACATATATGTAACTTTAGCTGATCATAAAGAGTAGTAAAAGCTTAAAAAGTTAGCGAAAACCGCATCTTGATATCTTCTTTCAAGCCGAAGATATTAGCAAAATTATAATAAATACCAAAAAATAAGCCTTCAATTACATTATTTTTCATTTATTTATATTTATTTTATTATACTTATTTTTATTATACTTTTTTATTATACTTTTTTTATTATACTTATTTTTATTTTTTTATTTTTATTATTACCTTTTTTTCTCTTTCGACATTAGTAACATTGGGCGCATTCAATAAACACACCGGTTAGTCCACCGGTGCAGAAAATTAAATTGAATGCCAATGGCAACTCACCGGATGATTCACCGATCACTTGAGAGCCTACCGTGTTTTGTTTCCGGTTTATTTACGTACCGGTAACTTGATCGTTCAATGAAAAATTATCGCTGGGTCTTTACCGGTTAATACCGGTGTGTTTACTGAATGCGCCCATTGTGTGGATTCAGGGAACACAACCGCTGACCGATCGCTGCGAATTTCGCTTAGCGGCTGACCGTTTTTGTGTGCAAAAATAGACCGTTCAGGGAAGTCGTTTACTCAGCCACTCAGCTGACTCAGCCGCTGACCGTCCCTGAACGCGCTCGTTATTAGTAAACTGAGCTGAATACTTACAGGTAAATTTTTGGCCGAATCAATAAACACAGTCAAAATGGCAGTACTTAACGTTGAAACTTGTAGCAATTGTGTCTCAGTTAAAATCTAAACGATAAAAGAAAAGAAATTATTTAGAAACTTATATAAAAAGTAACACCAAGAAAAAACTTAATTTATAGACAGTAATAAACTAATAGTACTTTACATATTTATGCATAATTTTATTAACAACTTACAGATTGGAAATCGTTGTAATCTTTGCTCAAAGTTAACCAAGTAAACCTGAGGTGTACCATCCCATGCTTGGCTTGTTCCAACGTTATCCACTGAAGAACCAAACATAAAATTATATCACTGTCAATTATTTAAATATATAACTAAAAAATAGTAAAAATAATAGACTTACACTATTTTCAAACCCTTTGGCAACAATATTCGATATTTCCACTGTGGCCCTATAACACATTAAAAATTATGTATTAATTGCTCGAAATATAAAGAAGAAAATTTTTAGTAATAGGTATATAAAATTTTTATAATTATTTATTATACTGGGTGTTCCTTAATGAAATGCAAACATTTAAGGATGTGATTCTTGGACCTTTTCTAAGAAAAAAAACTTCATATGGATGTATGTCCTAAACATCTTAACTTTTGCGATATAGGTAAGTTTTTTTCATAATAACTCTATCGATATCTTACTGAAAGTTGATATACATTTTCTATGCATCGAAATATTTGTTTTGTACGAAAGCGTAGAGCTGCCATCGCAACATTGAAGTATAAGTTTAGCAAAATTTACACTTTTTCTGTAGATGTTAAATTTACACATTTTCTGTAAATTTACCTGTTGCAAACACTAATGCATCGGAAAGGGTGACGATACTTTCCGGGTCGATTAAAAGCATATTAGAAAACATATTAAACAAAAAAAAACGCATACTACTATATCACACACATTCGAAATCCAATATATAATCCCCAACATTGAAAAATATTTTTAGCAAAATTTACACTGTTTCTGTAAATTTACAAAATTTCTGTAAATTTACAAAATTTCTGTAAATTTACAGATTTTCTGTAAATTTACACTTTTTCTGCAAATTTACAATTTTTCTGCAAATTTAAGAAACTGATGAAAACTTTTGTGAATAAACTGGCGTAGAATGGAGTTCGATGGAAACTACTCGTAGAATAACGCACCACTGTTTCCACTAACGCAGAAATTGACAGAAAAAGTGTAAATTTACAGAAAATCTGTAAATTTACAGAAAGTATAAATTTACAGAAAAAGTGTAAATTTACAGGAAAAGTGTACATTTACAGAAAAAGTGTAAATTTACAGAAAATGTGTAAATTTACAGAAAAGGTGTAAATTTAACCTTTACAGAAAAAGTGTAAATTTACAGAAAATCTGTAAATTTACAGAAAAAGTGTAAATTTAACCTTTACAGAAAAAGTGTAAATTTACAGAAAAAGTGTAAATTTTGCTAAAAATATTTTTCAGTGTTGCGATGGCAGGCCACCCTGTATAATTCGATTTCAATCAAAATTTCAATGATTAGAATATAAGCAGAATAGATGCATAATATGCACCTATTATGCACACATTAGATTTATTTATTTCAATAAATTTACTTAGAAAAAGAATTAAAACAATCAAAATATTAAGAAGGAAATAATTAAGAATTTACTAAAATTACTAAAATAAAAAATTAAAAGCAACGAAAAAAAATGGGTAAACATTTTAGTATTTTATCTATAAAACACAATACAGAAGGTTTCATATTAATACATTCACAGTAATTGAATTCCGAGGTAAAAGTCTCTGGGCACTCCACTATAACATTATTATGAAAAAAAAGTTTGTAGAAAAAATTTCCGAACCTGTATCTGAAAAGTTAAGATGTTTACGATAAACATTCATATAAAGTTTTTTTTTTCTTAGGATAGATCAAGGGCCCTCTTTAAATGTTAAATGTCATTAATCTCCTTTAAGTTCATAATCAAAACTATTTCAATTGACAAATCAAAGACCTAATATTCAGTCATTTTTTTATTCATTAAAAGTTCTTATAAAATTTTAGTAAGATAGTTAGTATCAGTTCTCGTCCTTACACATATTATTTCATTAAATTATACAGATATAGTATTTTTAATACCTATTTAGAGGTACCAGTCGTTTTAGTAACTTAACGTATGCGGCTTCTTGCACCATCTAAACCCGCATGAAAAAAATTAGGTTATGACCTTTGTCATGTCAAATGCTTGACATATTTCTTATTGCATTGGCGGAGTGACTTGAAATTTCATATTATCAGTGGCGGTTTATAATAATAAAAATTAATTTTATAAAATTCTAAAGATGTTGACGTAATAAAAAAAATATAAAAGAAGCGCACTAATTTTAAAAATATTGTTTTATTAACTAGATACCGAGTTTTCTTAAAAAATACCTATATTATTTAAGATCTCGATTTAAGGCTTATACCAAAGAATATCTTAACTTATACTTATGCTTAATGTAGTAAACTATATTCAAAACGATTTAGGATCTCGATTTAAGGCAATTCAAAAAGCGTCTGATGCACTAAAAGTATAATAAATAATATAACAAGAAGTCGAGCAAGCAGTAATAATATTTATTTAAGGGCTCGTTTAAGTACAAATTCTACAGAAAAACAGGTTTAAAGAGCTTTTCGCTTTTAACAGCATGGTATTTGTTCAAAAATAATATTCTTTTTAATCTGATTCCAGGCATTTCCAATAACTGTTTTCTTCCATCCCGTTTTTTGAAATGAAAACCCATTTTTTTAATGCCCAAATATAACAAACTTTTGGAAATCTTAGTTTCTGGAGACTCTTCGATAAATTGCCGGAAAATAGTTTCTACTGTGATTTTATCCTTTCGCGCATACATTTTGTAAATTACTTCCCTCAAACAATCTAGGGTATTCTTTGTAATTCGGATTTTGCTCCGGGAAACGCTTGCAGACATATTTCTTCTAAATTCGAAATCTGTAGCTCTGTTTGGTTTTTCAAAGATTATATAATGTGCATTCTGGAACTTTTAGTGCTTCGGACGCTTTTTGAATTGCCTTAAATCGAGATCCTAAATCGTTTTGAAAATAGTTTACTACATTAAGCATAAGTTTTTTGGATTCATCAGAATATCGCATTTTTATATCTTATTTTGCGTTATGACATTAACATGAAATGTAACTTCAAAAACGTGACATCTAACAAATTATTAATAATCGACGTTCATTTTTGTTGGTAATTTTTTGTTTCAACTGATTTATTAATAATAAATAAGGATGGTGTTATTCTAAATGGGTATTAAAAATAGTATATATCGCCACTTTTTTATTTAAAGATTTATAGATTTTTATAGATTTATAAATATACCGAATGATCGAAAATAAAACGGCGTCAGCGTGACAGCGATTTTCATTTCATAGCCATCGTTGACGCCGTCATCATATGGTATTTTGTTTGTTTGTAACTGTGTCAATAATTCTTAATAATATAACTCAAAATAGATAAACAATCATTATAGTCAGTGTTTGGCTTTCAAAATTCAATTTGACAACACCACAAAGGTTTTTGCTTTGTTTACATTGTTAACTTTTTATCTTTTTTTATTGGGTGTTTTTTTCTGTGGTGTTGTCAAATTGAAGTTTGAAAGCCAAAAACTGACTATAATTGTTTTTCTATTTTGAGTTATATTATTAAGAATTGACGCCGTTTTTTTATCATACGATATATATGAATAAATAAAAATCTATAAATATTTAAAAAAAAAGTGGCAAAATATCTGTATAATTTAATGAAATACAACAATTACTATATAATAATCATATACAACCATCGCAACCTAATATTATGTTTACATCTTGTTTGTATATCTTGATCATTTTGCACAGTAAGATGTGTCTATTTATACGAGCCCTAACAACTATATGTTGGAACAAGGCCTTTTTTGCAATAAAAATAGTAATTTTTGTTAAAACGACTCAATTTATTTTGTTTATTATTCTAAATTCAAATATTACAATATGATCTAGACAATTTTACTATATTTTTATAACTTTGCAGACAAATCAAGCCAAATTTGCTGACAACTATATATTGGGACAACATAACAAGAAATTTGTTTAATACGGAGTTATATCACCTTTCGCCTTAACAACTGCCTGAACTCTTAATGGCATTGTATTTACCAAAGATTGGCACATTTGAGGAGAAAAATTATCCCAAATTTCCTGCAGTTTTGTCCGCAAATCAAAAATTGTTCGTTGAAGGTGGTTTCTTAAATATTGCTTCATCTTAAGCCACACAGTTTCTATAACATTGAGGTCCGGACTACTTGCAGGATGGGATAGAACTTTTATATTATTATTACCGAACCAATTTTTAGTTGATTTTGCTGAATGGCACGATGTTCCATCTTGTTGGAAAATATAGTCTTCGTTTGGAAACAATTCTTGAGCACTAGGAAAAGTGAGGTCTCAAGTATATGTTGATATTTTTGGGCGTTAACAGTGCCATCTATAAAATTTAATTTGCCCAAACCTCTTGCTGACATGCAACCCTAAACCATAATCCCCTTAGGAAATTTAACAACCCTCTTTAAGCAATCTTTATGAAAGGCTTCTACTTCATTTCGTATTATTCGTTTTCGATGATCTCCAACACAAACATCATTATTCCAATCATTTTGTGTAACGATTTTTCTTTTGAATTTCTGTCAGTAGCGGTTTTTCTTTGGCCTAAATAAGAATTTGTATCAATAATCTTCAGGTAATTGATTATTCACACAAAATAAAGTTTACCTTGTAAAACCCCAGACCGCATTTATGGATATATTTTCGGCAACATTCTCTTGATATATTTAAACCAGTTACAGTATTCCATTTAACTGTTACTTCGCGAAGAGTACTTCTCGCAGACTTGCAAATTTTTACTAAATTTCGTAAATCTCTCTGAGATACAACTTTTGGCCTTCCCGAACTTTTACCTCTAACGTTTACATTGTCAGATTCGCCGTATTTTTTTTATTATATTAAAGACCGTGGTTTTTGGAATACTACTTTCGAATTGTTTTTCCCATACTGTATTGACGAATGATAATTTCGCGTAGTTTTTGATTTGTAGCTTTTCCACGGATCATTACATTGAATTAAATAATTAACAAAATTGAACATTAAAAAAATTAAAATTACTTACAGTAAATCTCACTACTCAAAGTATCGAGTCACAACCTGTCAATGCTGAAGTAAACAGTTTGCGACATTTGTGACGTTTATAGCAAAGCCGCCTATGATGATATTAATTATTTAAAAAAAGTTGTCCCAACATTTAGTCGTCAGCAAATTTGTCCTTTTATGAACAAAATCCGCTACTGTAAATATGGATTGATTTACAAATTCATAAAAATATTGTCAAGTTGTTT